TTTAATTTTTTGGGAATTTTTTGATAAAAAAATGTATGATCTACGGAGCGAGTGGAAATGAGAAAAGGAATAAAAACATAAAGATTTATGATCTGTCCAATCTTGGTGCAAGAACGCTTTTAAGTACCTGTGTTTTATTGTAATCTTCATAGGCTTTGTTTCATCGGATATATGTTTTATCTTCAGGTCTTTGGGAAGTTTTTGTTTACCTCTTTTCGTTTGATTTTTTCAACTTTTTTTAAAAAAAAACATTTATTAATTTAGTCTTTTTCTGCAGGTGTTCTATTTCTTTGTATCTTTGTTAGGCTGCAAAAAGACCGTGTGCTTCTTGCTTTATTGTCTGCTTTTCAAGGCAGGACACTTTAATCGGTTAGCCTGTATGGTGACTTACTTTGGTATCCCAGAGAACAGTCCGTAAAAATACTGGATGATTCAAAAGGAATCCAATCTTAAAAAATGAAAAAATAGGGTTAGTATTCAAAAAGTTGACAAAAAACAAAGTGGAGAAAGTCCTCTCTAATCTTAAGTAATTTTTTAAAAATAAATTTTTTTGTCCGTGTAGTATTTGTAATACTACAACTCATCTCCTGTTAAAGATAGACAGTTTTTTGCCCCATACATTTTTACTTTACAATGGTATCAAGACTTTTTTTTATTCTTATTGAAGGTTTTGCCTCTCTGAACTTTGTTGAGCCAGGTGAGATTCAAAAAAAATTTGAAGAAAAAATTGTTTTTCAGCATATTTTGTCTCGTCCAAAACCCACTGCAAGACAAAAAGGGTTTGAAATTTGAATTTTTGCTTGTTTTGTCCGGATAATTAAAATCAGCACTGTAGCAGAAAATGAAATAAAGCATACACAGTCAGTGCAATTTCAAAAAAGTTGGGTTGTTATTTTGTATGAAAGATTTGTCAGTCCTGATTCAAATGACATTTGAAAAATTTTAAACAGTTCAAAAGTTGTCCCAATGTTGAGAAAAACTGGTTCAAAATATTTAAAGTTTTTTTTTTATTTTCGAGGGTTTAAAGCGAGCGAGTAAAACGAAAAAGCAAAGCTACAAAAGCTTTAGTTAATAGCTTAAGAGCTTACTGTAGCTTAATATGAGCCGTAAAAACTTAAGTTTTATGTAAGTTAATTTAGTTTTTTTAGTTTTCTAATACTTAAATTCAAAAATTGAAACTGCTAAAAAAAATTAGAAAAAAAATTTAAAGTTTGTTGTTGTTTTTTTTCTAGTCAATTTCCACAAAAATTGTTTTGTTAATTGCTTATTTTAATTTTTTCGGCTCTATTTTTTTGTTCAGATCCTTTTCTCACACCACGCATAGATGAAAAATTTGTTGTATTTTTTCAGAGACTATGGTTGGAACATTCTCTACTACTTGGGCAGCAACTGGCTGTCCTTTTTTCCTTTCTTTCCTTTTGATTGACTTCCACTCAAAATCAGCTAACAAAACTAGGCATCGGAGTGAGTTAAGTGATTGATATTGAGTGAATTGAGTGAACAATGTCCAAGGCTAGTTCAGTCGTGATTCCAACGACATTAGAAAAATTGCCAGTGTCGAGAAAATCCGGTTTTAAATTTTTGATTTTTGGCCGAACTGTCAGATAGTAAATTGAACTGTAGCTTACTTTAAGCCGCAACAACTTAGTTTTACTTGCGTAAAAGTAGTTTTTTTTCCTGAGAATTTTTTGATTTTTTAGTTTTTCTAGTCATTTTTGCACAAAATTTTTTTTCCAAATGGCTGATTTTACTATGACTTTCGAAGATTCCTAAGCTCTAGTTTTTCGTTCAGATTATTTTATTCTACCACGCTGCACAAAACGAATCTAACTTATAAAAAAAATCTCGTTTTTTTTTTCAAAAATTAAGGTCGTAACAATCTGAGGTACTTGCACAGTAACCGGGCTATGGCAATGCTTCAAACCCCATGTATATCTGCAATCTGCGAATTTTATGAACGGTTAGTATTAAGTTTAATATTCTGAATTTATTTGTTTACTTTGATATTTTCGCGATTTCATTCAGGTTGTTGAATTTTTAATACTGATTGGCTGAAAAAAAAATGAAAATTAATTTTCAACATTCGGTCCCTCCATCAAGAGGGACGCCCCCACATGTATGGGCCGCTCATCATTCAAATGCTGTCGCAGTGGTTGTTTGTGACCTCTATTACAGAGTGTTGTTTGTTCACTACAGTTTATAAGGAATTAGAGTAATATAAAGACAGTACTTTTTCTCAATCGTTGTTCAGTCAGTATATATTTATTACTCAATTTGTTTTTTCAAATGCTTAGATTAAGCCGCATAATTCAAATGTGTTTCAAAAAATGGTGATTTTTGAATTGAGTGTATTTGATTTAGAAAGTGAGATATCAAGTGTTTTTTCTTACCAATGAGTTTTCAGTGATTACTTTGACTCCATTTTAAATTGATACGTTTGAAAAAAATTAATTTCCCAGTTGTGAAGCCCATTTTATCTTGTAAAGATTTTTTCATTTAGGAAGGTTTTTCTTCAACCCTGCAGCTTTTTAAAAATCGCCCACTACAAGAAAAAAGATATGAATTGTTTAAATTTTGATGAGAAATTCATAAAAAAATCCAAAAAATTCATCTTACTTAGTTTATATTTGGGAACGTTTTTTCATGCAAATATAAAAATATGTGATTACATATGCGCAAGAATAAAAGAATTCTGCGTGTCGTCATAATTGATTTTTTTTCTCAACACCACACATCATTTTCATGCATCTTCACTGTTTCCTTTTAAAATTCTTTGTTTCCAATTCCTGGTAACTCTTATAGAAATAAACGGGTCTTAAATCTTTATTCACGTGTTTGAAGCTATATCCATCACATCAAACGGTGCTGTTGCCTCCGAAAAAAAAGAGAACCATTCTTTTGTCTTGTTTCTACGAAATCTTGTTGAATCTTGAACTGAAAATTAAAACCGACAGAATACCCACTAGATTCTAACTGTTTTCTGTGTGACATTTCAGAGCTTTTAGCGCGAATATTGAATGAATTTTTCATGCAATTACAGTTTCGCTATTTTATATAGATGCTTTAAACTGAAACTTAAGCCAGCTGACAACTAATTACTTAATAAATTACTATAGTTTGAGGCATAATTTGCGATTTATTGGAATTCAACCGCTTTCATGAAAATTTCGTGGGAGTAATGAACTGGGAGCTATACAGGGGCGTGCTGCATGAATTTATTATTTTTTTGTTTATTAGGCGGAAGTTATAATGGATATTCCAAGTAAAAGACAAGATATAATTAACGAACTTAGTGTTTGTATGGTGCCAAAGCGAAAAATGAAAGAAATGTTTTCCTGGTGCACTGAACTTTGACCGCTTTGAATCAATTGGGTAGCGGATCTACGTTACAATATATCCTATGGTATTTTCTAAAGAATCTGCACCCCTCTAATTAAAAGCAGTAAATAAGCATTAGAGCTTTCCAATGGATATTCTCGTTTTGCCGCATTCTGGTTAGTCGAAATAACTTAATCTGGCTAAGAATCTCCCCCACTCTCTTGAAAGAGAGCGCGGAAAGAGCGGAGAGAGACAGAGAGAGAGAGAGAGAGAGAGGAGAGAGGAGAGAGGAGAGAAGAGATAGAGAGAGAGAGAGAGAGAGAGAGAGAGAGAGAGAAGAGAGAGAGAGAGAGAGAGAGAGAGAGAGGGAGAGAAGAGAGAAAAAGAGAGAGGAGAGGAGAGAAGAGATAGAGAGAGAGAGAGAGAGAGAGAGAAGAGAGAAGAGAGAGAGAGAGAGAGAGAGAAGAGAGAGAAAGAGAGAGAGAAAGAGAGAGAGAGAGAGAGAGAGAGAAAGAGAGAGAGAGAGAGAGAGAGAGAGAGAGAGAGAGAGAGAGAGACATTACCCCGTGAGTTACCAACCCTGGTTAACAAATAATTGCAACTCATTCAATTTTCATTTTTGGAAACAATGCTTGTCATACAATTGCATACTGCTCCAAAACGAAAAAGTGGTGTGAAAATAGCATGGCTAGCTTTTTATACATAAATGAAATTGTTTGACTAGTATTTTTCCATTATCGAAATTGTACCACTAGCATTTTTTCTATAAATATAAATGTTTGACACAATCTTTTGCCATAGATTGAAACAATTGTTTTTGCGTGTTTTGCTTTAAATGTTCGTGTTTTTTTGAAATATTTTGTATGCCCATAAACTTGTGTAGCGACTAAAATGAGAGCGAAAAAAATCTTCAAAATTGTAATGCTTTTTTGGAAAAAAATGCTTGTCATGTAGTTCTCCAAACTGAAAAATGAGCGATAAGCATTTTTCCCATACAACAAAAAATCAAAATTTTGATAGAAAAAGGTTTCTCACTCAGCAAAAAATCCCAATAAATTTTTTCAATTTATTTGAAAATAGTTTTGCAGGGCTTCACAGTTTTTGTTCGTATGGAAAAATCCTTTTCGTACAATTTTCAAAAATGGAAATTATATGACAAGCTTTTTTACATATATTTTTTTAGTGTAACTGTATGATAGGTACTTTTTCGTATAAAGCTGAACTCAGGAAGTTAAGAATCTTCATCCCGAGATTTAATTGTGTGTATAATGTGTTTCGTTTGCGCTGCGTGTATAATAATCGTTTCTGATTGGTTGAAATTTCCGATTCAGAATCAGCAATATGTGGCCAAACTGAATGTTTGGTGAACTGTAAGCGGATTTCGCAATAAGACTGCTTTTTTTATCTTTCTTTGTTCATGTGTTTCCTTTGATCGTGCCAACAAAATTTTAACAGAGACAATAAACAGAGACAAAAGCTTCTGTTTTTCAAATAGACACAGACATATAGTCTGTTTAAAGGCCTGTCTCTGGATTTCAGTGACCTACACACACCAAATGGCTCGCATATCCAGTGCACTGATTGGCCTCGTAATGAAGTTAAATTTCTCGCCCCCTAAAACGCTTGAACTTATGGGCATATAGGTCCGAAACACCCCCCCCCCTCATTCATAAAAACCTCACCTCACGTTGTCGCTCCATACTCTTTTGATGATCTCGTTTGGCAGCGTCTTTAGACCCACGCCAACTCAGTCGCCGCCCGATTGATGTTTTCGGGGCCAGCAGCGCGTTAGACTCGGCCGGTGTTGCCGAAGCCACCCGGTTGATGGCAATGGGCGGAGTGGGCGGGTTACTCAGAGGAGTAGTAGCCACGAGCTTTCGGGAACAGTCCAAGGTTGAAACAAAGTCGAAATGTTCCACTTCCATGCCCATTTTGGGTGAAGATCTCTCCTCGTTTTTGTGTTCCGCTAACCGACTCTCGCTTAGACTCGGTGACTGCTGCACGACAACTTGGATCCGTGGAAGGCTAGGAGTTTCTGCTTTATTTTCTAATGGAATCTCTATCTTCAGGCTGTTATTGTTGTTGCTTACTGGAGTCACAGACCAGTATTTCTTCTTTCTCTGAAAAAAAAATTAGATGTTTTTCACGGCTATGAGAGCTTAGCTGAAGTATGACAAAGATCTTCGCTTCTTATTTGAGTGCTTCGTTTAGGCTGCGCGTAAAAAAATTGAGCTTTTTACTTGCGGGTGATGCAACATTAATCAATGAAATCAGCAAACAGGGATGTTCCAATCATGATTGAAGTTAGGAAAATAAAAAAATAAAAAAAAATAAATTTTAAAAATTTTTTGAGACTTTCTAAATCTGAATTTCGACTCGGCTTTTAATATGATACCACAATTGAGTTTTCCTTGAGGTACTTAAGCTGCGGCGGAAAGAAAACGCTCAACTACTCCATAGTGAGTTCGCCTCACTTAAGTAACTTGGTCTGAACAATATGGCACGAGAAACAATAAAAAACTTATGCAGGCCTTACTCGGGGATACAAGCACATCAGCAATTCTTCGTTAAGAATTGATCAGCTCGTAAATTGAATTTTCCCTTTTATATAGTTGGTCTTCTTATAATTTTTGTTTTTTGGATGACTGCCGTTTCATCATAATTTAGCTGTTCTATAGTAAAATCGCTTGTGGAAAAACTCTTCGGTTTTTCTATTTTATTTTTATTTCAAGCTCTGCCTATGAAGGACCAAGTGATCAATCTCCTCCCTAAGCCAAACAAAGGAGGAGAACGCTCACTTGGTTAGAGGTAATCTTTTTCAGCTAACCAGGTTTAAGCACAGTACATGCTGGTCTTACTGCTTGAGTTTGCATCTTTATTTTAGGGAGAATAGAATGTTCATTTGCTCTATTCAGGGGGAGATTGTCTACCTATGCCCTGAAGTTTGCCAGGTTCCCATCAAATTTTAATCATCACTTTAGAAATGAGAATTAATTTAGAGGATGAGAATGTATAAATTTACTTCATGTGTTCTGTGTGTTTATCGACTAATGACACCATGAGATCAAAAACCCACATTGGAAAGTTGATACTTAAAATCAAACTTGCCATATTATTATGATTTTTTAAATGAGTGTTCAGCTCTTACAACGAGCTCTAAATTTTTCGTACTTTCAAATAAATTCTAAATGCAAATTTATTGCAGATTTTTTTCTTTGCTCACACGATGTCCTGAGAAATACGACAATGTTTCGCAGAAACTGTGCCTCAGTGCTTAAATATTCTCAAACATGATGAAAAATTATACAATTGCTCACCAAGATTAGTTACTGGGCTAACCAAATGTGTCACCTTGGGATCTCAGCAAAACGAAAACGCTGTCGAAAAAAGTCGACAATTAATATACAAAATCTCTTCTCCCTGAAAAAATTTGTCCACAAGACACCAAATAATGTGAGTGTTGTGTACCTCTATGTCTCGTTTGGTGCGTCTGTGAATCTCGACAAAGATGCGAATGTAGACTAAGCACATGGTTATGAATGGGAAAATGAAACTGTAGATAAGACTGATGATCTTGAAGTGAACATTTTCGTGGAACTCTGGGTTGCAAGTTCCCCCCTCTCCCTCCCCCTCCCCTTCCATCTCCGCGTTCGTCACAATTTCAACCCCCGGATGTGACTGATTGATGGATCCCCCAGTGATGGACACCCGGTTCGTGTCTTCTGTATGGCCATCGTCTTCTTTCGGGGGGAACCATAAGTCCCAGCATAAAATGGGAAGCATGTAGATGATTGAACAGCACCACACAATGACAATGACTGTGAACAGTTTGCGGTGGGTGCGTTTGTTGCGGTAAGTGATGGGGGAGACGATGGAAAAGTACCTGTCGATAGCCATGGTCATTAAATTCAGAATCGAACAGGAGGAGGCAACGTAGTCGAACCCAATCCAAGTTGTACACAGCTGTAAACAATGACAGAGATAAACAAAAATGAGCAAAAACCACGAAAAGAGTTCGAAAAGTCAACAACAAAGGGTAAAGTAAGGATAAATTTGACATTCAAGACAAAAATTGAAAAACAAAAAACCTCAAAATGTTTGCTTAGACAAAAACTTACAAAGAAATTTATAAATAGCGAGGACTTAATACTCATCAACTCAATCACATAAAAATCAAATAATGTAGAAGCGCTCAAAACATCCGTGGGTTTTAATTATCATATTCCGTTCAGAACAAAGTTATTTGATTGAATATTGAATTGTTTTTGCTCATATGGGATTATCGGATTCTATTTAATCTACTACTTATAATAAATGGACTGACCCAGTTGGGAAAGGGCCAGTGGCCGACTAGTGCGGAGGCAGAAGCCAGAGGCATGACCACCAGACCTATGATGAAGTCAGCCACAGCGAGGGAGATGATGAACTGGTTGGAGGGTGTCTGCAGCCCAGGTGTACACCAGATCTTAAACACACAAATCGCAACGTGAATTGACGTGTGAATTGACATTGACAAAGAAGCCAACGTTTTTAACCAGAAAAAAGGTGAGGTAAATGTATTTAACCAGGAAAAAATAGAAGGCCAACTAGGCATGTGAATGGATATGGCGAAGAAGCCAATGTTTTTAACAAGAAAAAATTATCTACATTTTTTCATCCCTGAAGTTGTTCTTATAGCTACCCCAATTACATCAAATTTTAAAATCGAGTACAAAATATTTTAGCGAAATACTTTTTCTTGGGAAATTTGCGGAAGCCTGAGATAGCTATCACGCATCCAGAACGATGCTGAAAAAAGAGGCATTATTTGTTTGAATTCGATTAAAAAAAACAAGTCGATCAAATTATGCGACGCCATAAAAGTGTTTTTAAGCGAAGGAGAAGATAGCCGACTTCTCTTCTCCTTCAGGATTTTCAGAATAGTTTGATAATAAGGATTTCGGAAGACATTGAAAAATTCAAAGACGGCTAAAATATTGTTTCAGTAAGCTGATGAAAATCGATCAAAACTTTAGCAGTCCTTTTTTACTTGTCATGTCACTGATTACAGTCATTGTCGATTGATTTTGACGCGATACCTCAAAAATACTTGCAAAGATACCTGCTAAAACTACATGGAAAATTTGAAGAAAACGGAATAAAGGAGCTTCAAAAGTTAAATATTACAAATAATTCGAAATAAGTTGAATGGATATGAAATAACAAACAGTTGAGCTGTTTTGAAAAAAAAAATTACTGGCTCTTACTTAATTGGTAACACGACAAGTAGCTGGTGTAGAAGATAGTTCCAAAAAAACACCAACTTTAAACATTTAAGTGGAGAAGAGTTTGAGAAATTACAACAATTGTTCGGCTCATGCAAGCTAGCATTACTTCAGCTGAATGATATCTGAATACAATAGCGTTTCCAATATTAGCAGGGCCATAAAAAAGAAAAAAAATAAGTCATGCATTAGAAAACTAATTAAAAACTTGCCCCCTTATAGTTAAAACATGTTTTCTTGGTTTATAAATAGAATTATGCGGTAAATATAACTAAGAAAACAATTTGCAATTTTTTAAAACCTAATCGAAAAGAATTGATTTCTCTGATGGTACAGTACAGCCTTCAGCAGCTGTTTGAATAAGTCAGCACATGCTGATTGATAAGCTAATAGATAATGATTAAATTATGACGAATTGTCTAGACTTCAACATATTTCAAGCATCTCACGCAATTGGTTCACTATGAAAAAACTATAAGCTCATTTGATGATCTCCCAATTTTGTCGCCTTCATGAATAGTCAAAAGAGATTGAACAAATTTGGTTGAAATAAATAATTTTTGGTTGTCTCATGCTAGTGAAAAACAAAATTTCTATTGCTCCTAAAACTGTTTTAACACGAAGAATTGGGTTAAAATTGCAGTGTAAGACGGTTTTTGTTGTTATTCTAGGTCCTTAAGAGGTCTTTCACTGAATTTTTTTTTTTTTGGTGAGTAGAGAAGCTGGAAGCTGGTCTGAATTATTATTCCAACCATTTGGAAAATGGGGAGGAACCGGGTGTGTTTTATAGTTTTTTTGTTTTTCACACAAAACCAGGTACCACAATTAATCATCCAATTGAGTCGAGTGATATATCATATTAAAGCTCTGTCAGTCGTGATTCGAGCGACATAAAAAAATTTTTGAGATCTTTCTCAGTGTCAAGAAGAAATTTTTGGATGTTTGGTCTTTTTTCGAGCAAATAAAGTGAGCGAGCAAGCTTATTTCGTTTTCAAAAAAAGTTTACTACAAATATTTATCACAATGAAGTGAATGATATATCATATTTAAGCCCTTCCAATCTTAATTCGAACAGAAAAACATCGCAATGGAGGGAATGATATATCATTTTGAAGCCCTTTCAATGCCAATTCAAAATTTTCAAAAAATTGTCAGTGTCACAGTTTCGATTTTTTAAACTTAAGTCTAATTGCGAGCGATTGAAGCAAGCGAGCAGACTTACTATGAAAATATATGCTATGAAAAACCAATAAAATTATTTTGTTTCATTTTGTTTCGTTTTCTCGAAGCGCTTTTTTGGAATTAAATCATCAAAACTTCAAAACAGTTTCTGCAAAAAAGAAATTTCCAGACAGATTTTTTTTAGGTCATTTTTCAACAAAAATATTTGCCCTTTTTTAGTTTGACCGTCGATTTTACCTATTTTTTAGCTTTCCTTCAGATCCTTTCAACACAGATTACACAAATCATCAACACCAATTTTTAAAAAATGATGAAAAAATGGTCGGAAACATGGGCGGATTTAGGGGGGCGGGGGGGGGGGGGGGGGTTGCGGACGTTCTTCTCTTAGGGTTTCGACCCCCTGTGTTGACCCACAGGGTTCCCCTTTGTACTATTTTGAGGTATGCATTTTTGATGACGGACCCTAAAGTTTTTCTAAAGGCGCCTTGGGCGCCAATATATATTAATTTTGAGGGGGGAGCGCGCGCCGAAAAAACGCGATTGTTTGGTAAAAATTTACCAAAAAGTGCCTAAAAACGCCTTTTAGGCCTCGTTTTTCAAAATTTTGCCTGCGGCGCATTAATTTTGGCAAAAACAGGCTCTTTGTAAGGCTTTGGGAGAGCTTGCAAAATCAATTTGGTCGACCTAAAAAAAAAGTCGACAAAATTTTCGAAACTTTTTTGTTTTTTGAAAATCCCCCCCCTCGAGAAAATCCTAGATCCGCCCCAGGTCGGATGGCTTTGTGCTACTTGCACAGCAACCAGCTATCCTCGCTTTTTTTTCTCAATGATCAGTTTTGTTACTTTTGAAGGACAAATTTTTTAATCCTTTATTGATGAAATTGTGGAGATTGATAAAGTGTCAAATTAGTTAAATTAGAATAATTTGAGCGGGCTTTATAGAACTTATTTTTTGCTCGACAGAGAAAGTCATGCGAAATTGGAAGTTTTCAGAAATACAGCTGCATTGAAACTTTTTTGATAAAAAATCAAGTTAATCAAAAGTCAAGAGGTTGTGCCGGCTCTCAAAAAAGAGGGTTGATCATTTTGTGATTGACAGTGTATTTGTTGAGAAGTCTCAATATTTATTTTCGGAAACTTTCTTGTCAAATTTTTTGACAGAAAACTTCAATAGATATAATAAAGGGCATAGTCAAAATAGTCAGGGTACAGTCAGCTTTTTTAAATAAAAACATTAACCATTTAGTAATAGTCTGGTGTTAATTCTTTTACAGGAGTTCGTCCAAATGTCTTTGAGATGGATGAGCTTCTGTGGCCTAATTTCTATCATTTTCAATCTAAATTTCTACTTCATAGGGCTTATTTGCTTCTAAAAATCATTCATCAATACAATTTTCTGTTGATAAACAGCTACAAGGCTTTTAGTTAGCAATCAAAACTGATACGTCATTTGAATTGTTCTTTCTTTTCAGAGCAAAAGAAAATTGATCAGAGATCAATACTGGTTTCTCTGAAATGCCAATACGGTTATTTGATCCACTATTCAAACGAATGAAAGAAATTCAGTAAAAGAAAAACCCTTTGAGCCTTCCTTGCTTTACAGAGCAGACCATGAAAATGAATAAAATTTTTCAGACTGTTTTAATCTTCTGATTTAATATTTCTGTGTTGCCAAAGTTAATGAAATTATCGATGCAAAAAGCTTATATTCAGAAAAAAATTTGACTACCAGTTTAATCCAATAAACATGCCGTAGAACTTCATGACTATAGAACTCTTTATGTTTCCGTCTTTGTAAAATTGTTTAAAAAACAAGAGTGAAAAAAAAAGAAAAAATGCTCTGGGAAAATATTTCCAGACCATTTTAGGTCGTGTAACTAATATTTCTTGAAGATAAAAAATATATATAATTTGCGAAAATTTAGCTTTAAGTTATAAGTTTACAAAACTTAATCAACTCAGAAAGTATTTGCGGGTCTAATCCACGCGGCAAAATTCTTCCCATATCAGAAAACAGATCACATTTTCTTAATTTTAAGGTAGATGCAAAAATATCACTTAGAGGCAGGGGCAGATCTAGGATTTTCTCGAGGGGGTAGCTATAATGAAATATCCATTTTCCCTGCTGCTCTTAGGTTTGGGACGAGCGGAGTGTCATGCTGCATGTGAACTATTGTTTATTACTAGTCTATAACTTCATCAATCAAGATTTCGAAAAAAAAATCTCCAACCTGATTTTCTTGTCCGAAGACATCCTGTAACCGCTACTAGTTCTCATGAAAGCACTACTAGAAAAACTAAATGAAGCAAGCCAAAATATCATTTAAAAAAGTTGCGATTTCATCTCAAAATTTGAACAAGGACATTGAATTTTTTATGAATTAGTATCATCATGTTTTCTCTGATCTTGGGTTTTGGTTCCAACTTTCAAATAAAGTTGAGAACATATAGCTAGGGATGGTTTATTATTCAGAGAAACTTAACAACGAAAGTTTCGAAAGCTTCGGATTGCCGAGTTTGTAAGCTTCGAATAGCCTAACAGCGGTTTAAAATGCTCGTTCAGCTTACAATAGTTTTACAACGCGAGGTTTTTATGCGTGGCGAATTATCCTGCGCTTATAATTTTTTCAACTTAAACTAATTTAAACAGTGGTAATAACTAAATTGATGATCGCAAATCTGTTTAGAACTCAAGTTTTAGCATCGAAAAATTGATTTTGGCTGTTCAAAAATGATTAACAAATGAAAGAATGAAGAACTAAAACAAACTCATTGTATTTTTTACAAAATACTTGATTAAATTTTATCTAGAGAGAACAGAAAACGGACCCAGAAGGGTCTCATAGCGTTGCCCCAAGCTTATCAAACTGTTACTTAACAAAATATATCGAGACAATTTAAGGGGCAGACGAAACATTCAAGGAATTGCCCTAATACACAAGCAGTCGTGTTTCTATATTCTCTGAGCGTTTTCTAAGTTTTGGTTTAAAGCTCATCGTAGAAACCAACTATTTCATCAACGAACAAAACAACCTATTAGAAGCGGACGGACTAACAAACCGGCATTCTTTTTAATAAAAAGTATGGTCTTGATATCACTTAAATACATAAATAACCGAATGCTGTGCAAATAGCAAGTACGCGTGGTTTCCGAGGACAGTTACCATTTGAACAGTTAATGGTGTGACCTATAATTGGCAGAACAATGTTTTTTGATCCAAATGATTCAAGTTTTTTTTTGCGGAACTTTTTGGAGAAAATCACGGAATATTTATGCGGCCGTTTTTTGTTCTGATAATTTCGACTTCTTCATTAACTATTTTTGACTGAACAATTTGTACCACCTGATAATAACAAAGTTTTAAGCTCAGTTCCAAATATGATTTTCAATTACCACATATGATTACTTTTTGAAGTAATAGGGTTTTAAAAAACATAAATTTGCCGAATACAAAAAAATATTGAGCAAAAACCTCCAGTTATTAATAAACACTTACAAATTTGGCAAATTATTTGAAAAAAAAAACGTTCAAAACCTGTTTGAATGGCGACTATGGATCAAAATAGTGTGTCAGTTTGTAGATTTGCGGTTTACTTTTTTGGGAAGTATTTCATATTAAACAAAAAAATCAAGAAACCGAACGGCACAATCCTGGCTTCTTATTTTAATTATTCTTAACAGAAAAGAAAACAAAATCGTATCTAGAAAACTGATCATAAAAAGAAAGAGAAAAATATAGAAAACGAGAAACTTATACAACTTTATTTACACCCGGAATTTTTCGTTTTCTTAACTGGTTTGTTGCAGCTCATATGACAGTTAAAAAGCCTTTCATTACTTGTGAAACACTCATTCTTTTGTTTTCAGTACCTGAGCTTGCGTTAAAAAAGAATCAAAGTTTTCCCCACATCGTTTTCTCAAATTTTTGTTTTGCTTGGTGTCATCTTTAAAAGGTTCCTGTTCATTTAAGTAAGAGTTCAGTCCTGGTTCAAATGTGCTAATAAAGTGTCTGGTGACTGTATTTTTTGTGTGAAAAAAAGTTTGAAAATTGAAAAGCTCAAATCTTGAAAAGTTTTTTGTTTATTTTTCAATCCATCTCTATTACGAGCCCAAGCTGTGCACTGGATAGGAGCACAATTTTGTGTCTGTATGTTCTTGGATTCGAGAGATAAGTCTTTGAAAAATGTTCCAAAATGTAAGTGGAAGCCACTTACTAAATATCAGTGGATTCCGCGTAACAAAACCTCTAACGTAAGTTTTGTCGGCACATTGATTTTGTTGCGGATTCCGCAACGAGCGAATATAGGTAGTTGTTCTGGATTCCGCAAATGTAAGCGGATTCCGCAAATGTAAGTGGGTTTCGCAAATTTAAGCGGATTCCGCTCACAATGTGCGGACTTCGCTTACAATTTGCGAACAATTTGCGGATTCCGCTTACAATTTGCGGATTCCACTTACAGTTGCGGATTCCGCGACAGCTCAAATTTATTAAACACAAATATAATTATTTGCTCATGGATTCCACAAGTTGGTTCCGGATTCCACACCTTTTGTTGCGGATTCCGCAAAGTTGCCTGTTTTTGAAGCGATTTTGAGCAATACAGTGTTTTAGCTATTTGTGTGTGGAATCCAAAACAGCAAAGATCAAAGAAAAAAAGCTAAGTTGCGGATTACATGTCAAATCTATTTTTTGCCTGTTGCCGGATCCGCCTAAAATTTACAAAATGCACAGTTTGGCCTCGTAATGTCCGCTCTCAAAATTACTGGATATTAATGCAGAAAAAGCATTTTAAAATTTTTTTCGGTCGATTCGAACTTGATATCATAAAGTAGCGCAAAAAAGGATTTTTGGCACTTTTATATTATCGTAGTCTTTTGCAATTCGCTTTCTATTAATTCCTTAACAAAATGCTTAAAAACTCAATGTTGAACTTAAAATTTAACATCACCAAAAAAAGTTTTCTCAGAATTGCAAGAAAAACTTCTGAATCGTGCTTAGAAACTTTTAGGAAAAAATTATCAAAACTTTTAAATATGTGGAAATGTTCGGTTTTGCTTAATAATTGGTATTTCAAACTTCTAAAATTTTGGCAATATTTGGAATACTAGCGGTCACTGATGAAAACGAACTTAATAAAAGTTTCAATCTATGTTCTTACCACGAATATGACGAGACCATTTCCGACTGTAGTGAGAACAGATGCACAGCCACACACGATACCCAGTATGAGAGACACGACAGTATTCATGTTGTTGGATGTCCGATTTAGCAGAAGATGTCTACAACTTCAACGACAGTTTGATCGCTCGAAGATGTCACAGCTGCCACTTCTGGACTAGTTGAATTGAAGTGATCAAATTGGTCAATTGAGTCCGGAAGTTGTTCAAAAGTGTTTCAGGGTTGCACTTTGAACAGATCTGAGATATAAAATTTAGACAACAATTAATTGCAGATTCAACTGAAGTTATAGAGGTACAATTATGATAATTGGGATCATGGATTATAGATATGAAAAACACAATTCTGATTGACTGAAAATGCCAAATTAAATCAAACTCCCTCTAAAACGCTTTTGGTGAGGATGTAAGCTTGGTACAATTTTTATGCGCCTTAACTTATTCGGTGAAACATTTTTTAAATTTGATTTCTTGCGACCTTTGAGCTTCTCATAAAATGGAGGGACCGATATTTCATACATGCTTTTTTTTGAATAAACACCCCCAAACACCCTACTATAACCAAATACAGTAGCGGATCTAGATAAAAACAGATGCCCCCCCCCCCATAATTTGACCCTCTGCCCAGCCAAAGGTTCCTCTTTGTACTATTTTGAGATGTCCATTTTTGGCTGACGATCCCTAATTTTTTTTGTGGTTTGGGAAAGCTCGGAAATTCAATCAAATCGACCAAATAAAGAACTTTTTTTGAAAATCCCCCTCCCCCTCGAGAAAATCATGACTCCACCCCTGACCAATTACTTGACCAAACTTCCAACTATCATGCTTGTACTCACTGACCTCTACGCAAATTAGATGGACTGAAAAATTTCTATGCAGAAATTTTCTAGATAAATTGTGTTGTGGGGATTTGAAGGAGCAATTGCTCTGAATCGTTAGATCAGGTTTGCAATTTAATCGAATAAGCCACGCGGAAATGAATTTCAGATGCAAAATCAAATGTTTTTTTTGTGTTTCAATGATTTTAAAGCAACAATATTCTAAATTAACGTGATGATTTGAATAAATTACTTTGCTCGAAAAATACGCAAGCAATGGGATGCTAAAATTTCATTGGAAAGTAGAATTTATTTAATTCGAATGAAGTGAAAAATTAAAACGAGAAAAGCGATTCCTCAAAAAACATTCTTTGTCCCAATTCAGCAAATTCTTTTAAAAAGCTGCGTTTGTTGATTGTGTAATTTAAAAAATAATGAGTATCTGTTGTTTTCTCATGCACCAAGCAGATTTTCACCAAAAGCAAACCAAAAAAAAACTGTTTTTAGCTGAATTTTTAAAATCTTTTTGTAAAAAGATTTTTGCCAAAAATTCAAAACTTATATTGAGAGTTTAAAAGGAACTCAACAAGAAACTTTTCAATTTTAACTCAACTTGTATTTGATATTGATGGCATTAAATCACTTCTGTACGTTCTAATGACAATATGAGCCGATCAAATTTTTTTTGCTATTAATAAATGGCATTATCCTGCTTAGAACAGTGCGCAGGTGTGAACTTAAGACCAAAGCTGAGAATATCTCCCACCTCTCTTAAATAATAGAAAAGATTAGACTCTCCTGAAAAACTAATCAAGTTGACCGGTACAAAAATCGGAACCATTTTGCCACTTTTACTCTCAAAAAATTAATTCAATTATTGATTACTGTAGTAAATGCTTCAACCGTTTTATGGAAGAGACAATATTCCTACTTAAAATAAATTGATTATTCGTGCAGTTGAAAATATGGTCTCGAAAAAAGCTTGATTCAAGGCTCCAGCTATCATCCATTGCAATGGAGTTTTATAACAGTAGCAATGTAGCATGAAATTTAATTCTTGTAAAATTTCATTTTTTTCCCAGTCTTTTTGCGTAGTAAGCAAAAATAATTGAAACTACGGTCTGATAAAAAAAGCTAGTGGTACGAATTTCATAGAAAGAGAAAAAATTTTGCTTGAACATAGAGCTGATATAGCGATTGGAGGGAGAGATCATTTTTTTCCCCAAAAACGAAAACTTTCTCTGATAAAATGCTGGTAGCAAGGAAAACAAAACATTTTCTTTTTAGTTGTAACGCACTACGTAAATCAATGCTTTGAATTTACCGCATTGAAGGATTTGTTTGTGGTGCGTGAACGATGTTAGCAACAAAAATTAACCTCAACTAAAAGTTTTCGAATTTTCACTCAATTTTAAACTTTAAGTTTTCTTCATCATTTAAAAAAAGTTCAGCATAATTTTTAAATCTGGTAAAATGTTATTTTTTTTCCGAATTTTTTGCGTAGTAAGGAAAAATAATTAAAAATACGGTTTGATAAAAAAATACTAGTCATATGAATTTCATAAAAAGAAAAAAAAACTGCTTAAACAAATACCTGATATAGCGACTGAAGTGAGAGAAAACTTTTTTCCCCAATAACAAAAAAACTTTCTCTTATAAAGTGCTATTAGCATGGAAAAAAAATTGTTTTATTTTCAGTTAAAACACACTATGTAAATCAAGGCTTTGAGTTTACCGCCTTGAAGGTTTTGTATGTTGTGCGTGGACGATGTTATCAACAATATTTAACCTCATGCAAAAGTTTTTATACTTTCTTTCAATTTTGAAATTTTCATTTTCCTTGTCATTTAAAAAATGTTTAGCATAATATTTAGTCATCATAATATTTGAATTGTCTTTTTTTCCAATTTTTTTGCGTAGTCAGCAAAAACAACTGTAAAAAACGACGTGATAAAAAATGCTGGTCATACGAATTTCATAGAAAGAAAAAAAGGTTTGCTTAAACGTAGAAATGATATAGCGACTAGAGTGAGAGATAATTTTTTCCCCAAACTTTAAAACCTTCTCTTATAAAAAGCTTTTAGCAAAGAAAGCAAAATGTTTTACTTTCAGTTAAAACACACTATGTAAATCAAGGCTTTGATTTTACCGCACCAAAGGTTGTGTATGTTCTGCTTGGACGATTTTTTCAACAATATTTAACCTCAAGTTAATTTTTTTGGATTTCACTCAATTTTAAATTTTTCATTTTCTATGTCATTTTTAAAATTTTTAGCATGAAATTTCGTTATCATAATATTCTTTTTTTCTTTTTTTCATTTTTGTGGCTTAGTAAGCAAAAACAAGTGAAAAAACGACCTAATAAAAATTGCTAGTCATAAGAATTTCATAGAATAAAAAACACGTTTCTGTAAACATAGAGCTGATATAGCGACTGGAGTGAGAGATAATTTTTCCCCCAAAATTGAATTTTTCCCCAACAGCATTGAAAGTTGTGTATGTTGTGCGTGGACGATGTTTTGATATTTATTTAAACTAAAGTAAAAGTTTTTGGATTTTCACTCAATTTTAAACATTTAGTTTTCTTCCTCAATTAAAAAACAATTTAGCATTAAATTTAATTCTTGTAAAATTCAAATTTTTTTCCAATCCCCAATTCTGAAACTTTTCTCTGATAAAATGCTAGTAGCAGGGGAACCAGAACGTTTTATTTTTCAGTTGTCTTCTTCATTTAAATTAGTGTTTAGCATAAGGTTTAGTTATCATAATATTTTTATTACATTTTTTCCAATTTTTTTGCGTATTAGGCAAAACAATTGAAAATACGGTTTGATAAAAATTGCTAGTCATACGAGTTTTAAAGAAAAAAACGTTTGCTTAAACATAAAGTTGATATAGCGACTGAAGTGAGAGATACTTTTTTCCCAATTATGAAAATTTTCTCTGATGAAATGCTAGTAGCAAGGGAACCAGAACGTTTTTTTTTTCAGTTAAAACACACCATGTAAATCAAGGATTTGAGTTTACAGCACTGTAAGTTTTGTATGTTGTGCGTGAACGATGTTACCAATAATATTTAACCTCATCTAAAAGTTTTCGGATTTTCGAAAATTTCAAACTTCTAGTTTTCTTCGTCATTTAAAACAGTGTTTAGCATAAAGTTTTTATCATAATATTTTCAGTTTCTTTTTTCCTTTTTTTCGTAGTAAGCAAAATTAATTGAAAATACGGTTTGATAAAAAGTGCTAGTCATACGAATTTCATAGAAAGAAAAAGGTTTCCCTAAACATAGAGCTGATATAGCGACCTAAATGAGAGATAATTTTTTACCCAATTATGAAAAGTTTCTCTGATAAAATGCTATTAGCAAGGAAAACAAAACGTTTTATTTTCAGTTAAAACACACCATGTAAATCAAGGATTTAAGTTTACAGAAATGAATGTTTTGTATGTTGTGCGTGGAGGATGTTATCAACAATATTTAACTTCATCTAAAAATTTTCGGATTTTCATCAATTTTAAACTTTTAGTTTTCTTCGTAATTTAAAACAGTGTTTAGCATAAAATTTAATTATCATAGTATTTTTATTTTCTTTTTTCCATTTTTTTTCGTTGTGAGCAAAATTAATTGAAAATACGGTTTGATAAAAAAAGCTAGTCAAATGAGTTTCATAGAAAGAAAAAAAAGGTTTGCCTAAACATAGAGCTGATATAGCGACCTAAGTGAGGCATAATGTTTTACCCAATTATGAAATGTTTCTCTGATAAAATGCTAGTAGCAAGGTAAACAAAACGTTTTATTTTCAGTTAAAACACACCATGTAAGTCAAGTATTTGATTTTACAGCACTGAATTTTTTGTATGTTGTGCGTGGACGATGTTACCAACAAAATTTAACCTCATCTAAAAGTTTTTGGATTTTCATCAGTTTTAAATTTCCAGTCTTCTTCGTCATTTAAAAAGTGTTTAGCATAAAGTTTAATTATCATAACATTTTTATTTTCTTTTTTCCATTTTTTTTTGTAGTATGCAAATAATTGAAAATACGGTTTGATACAAAATGCTAGTCTTATGAGTTTCATAGAAGGAAAAAAATTTTTCTTAAACATAGAGCTGATATAGCGACCTAAGTGAGAGATAATTTTTTACCCAATTATGAAATTTTTCTCTGATGAAATTCTAGTAGCAAGGGAACCAGAACGTTTTTTTTTTCAGTTAAAACACACCATGCAAATCAAAGATTTGAGTGTACAGCACTGAATAATTTGTATTTTGTGCATGGACGATGTTACCAACAATATTTAACCTCATATAAAAGTTTTCGGATTTTCATCAATTTTAAACTTTTAGTTTTCTTCGTCATTTAAAAAAGTGTTTAGCATAAAGTTTAATTATCATAATATTTTTATTATCTTTTTTTTC